AGAAAGGCTCCCCATCAACCCCAGAGATCCCAAACAATCAGGCACTACCCAAAATGTGAGCCCACCCCACCGCCACTACACTCCACATACCGTCTGATTCTTCAGCCTGGGTCTCCCATTTTGCTGAGCATTCACATTGTCTTGCTATATTTGCACTATAAACTACTTATGGGCAAAATAATTAGTTTATTATTTTTACCCTGGGCACTTAAAACATTGTCACAAAGACTCTTAAAAAGTAAATAGAAAATGAATGAATGAATAGGCAAATCTTGACATCTAAAAGAAAGCCAAAGCAGAAATAACTTCACAATATGACTAAAGGGAATTAGTGTGCTTTGATTCAAATTTGAATGTGTTACAGGTTTTAAAAAGTAAATTGGGAAGGAGGCTAGAGAAATGGCTCCACAGTTAAGAGCACAGGCTGCTCTTGCAGAGGACCCAGGCTCAATTCCCAGCACCCACATGATGGCTAACAACTGTCTATAACCCCAGTTCCAGGGGGTCTGATGCCCTCTTCTGACCTCTGTGGGCACTACATGACATGGGTGCGCCTACCTACATGCAAGCAATACACTCATGCGTATAAAATAAAAATAATTTTTTTAAAAGGTAAGTAGAGGAAAATGAGCATTTCTATCAAGAGAACTGAAGAAAAGAGACAGCAACAAAGAAAACGGAACAAGAAAAGAAGGAAAGTACAGACAAGAGAATGGAAGTGTTTCTTCTCTTAACATGTAATGTATAGGTAATAAGCACAAATACATATGTGTAGACACACACGCTGATTTCACATGTATGGATGGTATGCAAAGAAAGAGAAGTACAGTCTTGTGCTAAGAATTGTTTTAACCAAGTTAACGTATTTGTTTGAATGTTTAGTAACTGATTCCTTGAGTAAATATCTAAGAGTTCACGATGTACTGGGCAGCTCACTGTACAGCTCCATGTTGTGGACACAGGGTGTCAGAATGGTAGCGCCACATAGGGACCCTTTGGGTACTTCTGTCTTTAGGAGGAGCTGGACCAGAAATATGTAAGCAAGTTCACTTCTTAACATTCCCATTTGTGGTAAGTGCTAGTTAGAGAAAAATAGATCAGTGTGAAAGAAAACTAAATGAAAAGAGCAGAAAGACCTTTCAGTGTGGGATAGTCACAGACTGGCTCTACGGTTCATTCAAGTTGGTGCCTGAAGCACAGCACAGGGCCACCAATGCAAAAGAAAAGTCACTGACTAACTGGAAAGTTCTGTGTTAAAATGTTTATTTTGTGTGAGGGAGGATGTGTGGGTGTGGGTGTGTACCTGTGGAGGTCAGAGGAATTATATCTCTCCTTCCACTATGTGGGTCCTGGGGAATCAAATTCAAGTTGTCAGTCTTGGTAGAAAGTGCCTTTACCTGCTGGACCATCTCATTGGCCCCGATAGAAAGGTCTTTCAGGCCTATGTACTGGTACTGGCAAAAGCGTTCAGGTGATGGAGTAGGTAGTGAACTATTGTGGAGACTGTGAATGGAGCAGAGGCAGAGCCAGACTAGGCAGGGCACTGAGAACCCTGGGAAGGAAGCTTAAATTCTTTTCCAAATATAAAAGGAAGGTATTAGTAACTCTTAAGCCCAATGGTTACTTGGTGGTTGTAAGAAACACACACACACACGCATGCGCGCACACACAAATATATTTACATACATACATACATACATACATACATACATACACACACATATATATGCATGCTGTGAGGGAAATGACCTGATATTTCATAAGAATTGAAGCAGGGAAGCCAGTGGGAAAGCAACTGTTTTGGGCAAGAGATATCAGAAGCCTGAACTAAGGCAATGGAGATGGAATCTAAGAAAGGGGCAAACGTGAGAGATGTTTTTGAGATCGATTCAATTGGACATGCAGTGGGTGAGATATAAGAGATAAGAAAAGTCAGGATTCATAACCCAGTATAAAATCTAACAGTCCGCCCTTGTCTGGGGTTTCATCAAACCTGGGAATGTGAAATATCCCCCTCAGGCTTATGTGTTTAAGCACTTGGTCTCCAGCTGGTGGTGCTGTCTTAGGAGGTTGTGGAACTTTTGAGACGTGTGGCCTAGCTAGAATAATGGGTTGCTGGGAACAGACCTTGAAGATGATAAATGTCTACTCTGGTTCCATCCAGAGTGCTCTACTTTCTATCTGCCAATGCTGTGTGCCCAGCTACCTCATATTCCTTCTGCCATGAACAGGAGTGGGTCCCAGAGCTGTGCATTCCCCACCCTGATGAACTATACCCTCTAAACTGAGAGCCAAAATGAACCTCTCCTCACATAAGTTGCTTCTGTCAGGTATTTTGTCACAGTGATGCGAAAAGTAACTAATATTATTGCTGGGATTTGCACCTGTAGACCTGAGTAAGAATGGAACTAGTCTCCACAAAATCAGATTTGGAGAACCTTCTTGGGCAGGCCATTCATTCCATAAGGAAGCACCCTGCCCTTGAAGAGTGTACAGGAAGACTAAGAGAGGAAAGATGGAGCAAGCTACCTTAAGAGTGTGAGACATAAGTTCCATCATTTGTGATATCTTAAAACAGAATAATAAATATAGGGGGCGGGGTTAAACAAAACCAAGAAATTCAGGGAAGGCAGCAAGCATCTTCACACACACATCTTTCAAATGCTTCTAGGAGGAAAACAGGCTGCAGAGAAAGAACACAGCGGAATGAAAAATCAAATAGGATACGTTGTATGAAAGGGTATGTGTGTTAGAGTTACAAATGTTCTATTTGGAGTAATTTCCAAATAAAAAGCTGTTTTAAAAAGTATGCACACAGCAAGTTCCCTGGTCCTTGTCACCGCTTATGGGTAACATTAGAGGCATGTGACACAAAGAGTAAGTAAGAAAATCTTACCCTGAGAACTAGAGCAACAGGAGTGCCATCATCACCAGCAGCTGCTAGCTAACACAGTAGGAAGCCTGCTCAAGCGAGACAGCCCAGAGCTCATCAAGTGGACACTAGCACCCAGGAGGAACCAAGACCCGCAGTGACCACAGGCAATATAAGACCCCAAGTGTCTCAGGTGGGGCAGCTGGAGAGCCCAAAATTATCCCACCCTGAGATGCCTATCTAAGGATGGACCAGAGAAAATGGGTCCCACAGAGGCAAACCAGCTCAGAAGGGAAGTGGGTCCTTGGAATGTAGAGTGTACTTTACATAAAGAGGACTGTGATAAACCAGAAAAGACCACACTACCTAAAAGTGGCAAATTGAAAGATCAGCTGACATGTGTTGAGACACCCTGGACAGCTACAGAGAAACTCTACTCTGCACGTTCCAGCTGCGGCTGGTGCAGCTCTCTCTACTCTGCACGTTCCAGCTGCGGCTGCTGCAGCTCTATCTACTCTGCACGTTCCAGTAGCGGCTGCTGGTTTTCTATCTACTCTGCACGTTCCAGCCGCACTCTGCACGTTCCAGCTGCGGCTGCTGCAGCTCTATCTACTCTGCACGTTCCAGCCGCACTCTGCACGTTCCAGCTGCGGCTGCTGCAGCTCTATCTACTCTGTACGTTCCAGCTGCGGCTGCTGCAGCTCTATCTACTCTGCATGTTACAGCTGTGGCTGGTGCAGCTTCAAGGACTGTAATTCCCATGAGAAAGATGGAGAGCTCTGTGTGGAGATGCAAACACACACAAACCTGTCTGGGGTAAAACAAGTCAAAATGTTGACAGTGAAATAAAGATGACATCCATCTTTATGTGTCTTCTTGCATGCATTTGAGAAGCAAATTTGCATTTTGTTATCAAGCGAAATTAGAGCTTTTTCCATATAGGGAGAAAAAAGGAAATTCCACCCAAGAACAAGGCAGAGAGTCATACACTATTCTGACCCAGACTCCCTGTTTTCCTGTTCATGGCAGGGATGCTGTGGGTTGATTCTTTATTAGGCATGTTGAACACTGTTTCATATACTTTGTCTGCCTTCCTCAAGTTCAAAACCAAAGTTTTAAAGTTTCTTTGCAGTGATTCCCAAAGCTTAACCTGACTCTGCCCAGAACATGCATCTGTTATTCACTGGGGCCTGCCATTGCCTAACTTCTAAAAATATGGTTTTATTTTACAGTTCTCTCAATAAGCTATAAATTGTTCCTTAAAAAATAAAGATAGGTACTGTGATAGTTAATGTGGATTGTTAGTTTGACAGGATCTAGGAGACAAGCTTTTCCTAGGCACATCTGTGAGGGGTTATCTAGATCAGGTTAGCCTCTGGGCCTGCCTGTGAGGAATTACCAAGACTGGGTTAGCCTCTGGGGGTGTCTATGAGGGATCATCTAGATTAGGTTAACCTCTGGATTTGCCTATAAGGGATCATCTAGATTAGACTAGCCTCTGGGAATGTCTGTGAGGGATCATCTAGATTAGGTTAATTGAAGTGGGAAGAACCACCCTAAGTGCCAGACTGAAGAAAAAGGAAAAGAGCTGAGCACTAGCATTCCTCACTCTCTGCTTCCTGCATTCCTGCAATGTGACCAGCATCTGCCACTATCCCTTCCTGCCAAGATGGACTGTATCTCCTAAACCATGAGCCAAAACAAACCCTTTCTCCCTTAAGTTGCCTCTTGTTGGGTATTTTGTCACAGCTATAAGAAAAGCAATTGAAGCAGAGGTTCGTGTGCTACTTCTGTTCCTAACTTGCTTTATCATCTCATCTTTCACCTTCCTTTTCTTCACAGCTAATGAACACCCGTCTAATCATCTTGTCTATAAATATGAGCTGATGAGGGGCTGATGGAGAGGAAGAAACTCCACAGATGGAGGTAAAGAACCAAAGATCACAGAATGTAGGTAGCCTGTCCCCAACTCAGTAACTAATTCTCCTTGTCTCTGTCTCCTCTCCCCCCCGTACGTATTTGAAAATGCCTATACATTACATGACCATTATTCACTTTCCAAATATAAAATGTAATTAAATTTAGAACAATTCTTTTTGAAAAAAAAGATAACTTGCATTCCTCTTACTCGTCTTGAACCTGGTTTTGTTGATTGTGGTCTGAGCTCAAATCAGGGTCTAATACTTGGTCCTGATCCCGAAAATTAACCTCTTTGTGTTTCTCTCTATCAAATGTATCCTGCAAAGATGCAAAAAAAGTCAAAATATAATATAAATATATAGAAAATTACATGGACAAATTACAAAAAAATCATGCTAAGCAAAAGAAACCATACACAATAGGATGTGTAAATACATGGTTCCGTTTACGTGAAGTTTTCAATCAATCCAGAATGACCGAAACCACGGGGTGGCACAAGACAGGCTCTAGAGTAATGGAAATGCTTAGTGTCTCAGTACAGGAATGAGTTTCATGGGTTTGTTCATTCATTTGTCAAAACTCCTCAGCCTGTGAATTGCACGATGTATAAACGTACGCATATATAATACATACATATAATAACATGATTCAAAAAGAAGACTTTAAGGCATTGTCTTTTATCTCTACATCCCAAGATTAAAAAGACTTTAAACATAACCCTAATCTTTACACACAGAATAACACACACAGGGAGTGAAAATCTGACAAGCACAAAATACAAAGAAAAAAGTGTTGACAGCTGGCATCTCCAGATAGAGTTCTTGCTGTGTGCCAGCCCTCTGCAAGGTAGTTTTGTTTCCGTGTGCCTACCAAGTTTATTTTTCATAATGACCCTATCATTAAATCAGCAGATGCGTTGTCCCTATTTGGCCAATAAGGAGATAGAGACATAAAAGTTTACAACTTCCTCAGGGTCTGGAGAGGGTCTGATTTTCTGTGCAGTTTAGTTCCCACCCAAGCAGGAACTCTTCAGCCACTGTCTTGTATCTTGTAAGAACTTTCTTAGAACAGCCTGCTTTAACTATTCCAGTTTTAGAAAGGAATCTTTGTAAACCCATTTAAACATCTGAAAGGAAGGCTCCTGGTTTCCATGAAGTAGATTTGGCTACATTGTATCTCTCAAGAGTTTATGGGTTGGAAGCTTAGGCCCTAATATGACCAAATGACAGATGATGGAACCTTTAATGGGAGAGGAGATTAGATTCATTGAAGGCAGGAAGTTCTGATGGGACTCTAGCTAGGTCTAAAGAGAGTTATTAAGAAAACAAGTCTGGCTACTCCCCATACTTTGCCTTGCTGTCTGTCCTGTTATTTGATCACTCTCTCCCATGCATACTTTCACCCAATGTGATACCATCTCCTATAGAGTTCCCTCTAGAGTCTGCACCATGCTACTTGGACTTCACCCTCCAAAACTGAACTAAACTTCTTTATACATTACTCAACTTCTGGTAGTTTATTTTGGCAACAGAAAGTAAAAATGGGCAGATGCCTTAATCAAGATATATATTATCTTTCTAATCTGGGTTCCAATAACCCTACCCTCATGGAAACTGCCAGTACCAATCCTAAGCAATCACATGCTTTGCTTAGTTTTCTTCTTGTCTTGAATTCCCAATTTTACTGCACTGCTTCAGAACGTCAAGAGTCATCCACATCCCTACCTGTAGAGGGGGAGCCTTGCTCTCAACAGGTTTTCCCATGGAAGCAGCATTGAAAGAAGCCTCCAGCCAAGGCAACAGACGACACTTGATTGTTTCCATGCCCTCGTTACTTCCTCCTAAGAGAATGTAGACAGAAGGTCACTGTGGGCTCAGTCAAAGAAGAGGAGAGAGGACAGAAGAAAGCACACAGCAAGCAGAATCAGAAGGCTGTGGGGTGGGGAGACACAGGCCACTCTCACCTTCTTGGGCTGTCACTGTGAGGATCCCAAAGAGCTGTGCCTGCACTTTGGCAACTTGTTCAATGAGTTCAAGGCACCAGTTTAGATTTTGATCACAGGAGTTTGTCTATAAAGCCAAAAGAGCAGACATCAATGCAATTCCCGATTTCTTAGACTCACTGCAGATAAACAAGAGCCTGTATGATCTAGGATCTGCCTGGCTCTGGCATGCTCTGGTGACAGAGACTACCAGGCATCACTAAAAACTCATGCTCCTTTCCCCTTGGACACATAGCTGGCATTGGACTGTGTGGGCTGTGTGGCCCATGTGGCCATGGGGGGCTGAGTCTAGTGAATGATTTAGGGAGTAATGTGTGCTGTGTCCAGGCCCAGTGAAGATCTCCTGAGTAGTTCTTTTCCTGGCTTTTCACATCTGCCATGTAAATGCAGAGGAGACATGGAAAATCCACAAAGGTAAAGGGGAGGATGGAGCCACAAGACCTGTTAAGCTGCTGACCAGAGAGATGAGAAAAGTTACTCTAGCCCTGTATTGCTGGAAATCACACCTGTGGAACTGGGTAAGAATAGAACTAGTCTCAGCAAAAGTAGTTATGGCGAACTGTCATCGTCAGCTTCAGTTGTCAACTTGGCCAGCCTAGAGTCATCTGAGAAGGAGCCTCAACTGAGGGATTTCTTAGGCTGTACCCTGGCACAAAACTGCTAAATGACTAAATAACTTGGTTTGTAGGTGTTTAAGCCACTGAAATTTGGGAGTTTTTTCTAATTGATAATTCTACTCAGTAGAACCCTGCAAAAAAATCCCCTTATAAAGTGAAGAGATAGTTTATGGTGCAGTATTAATTGCTGACTTGTTCATCTGCTTTATTGATCTTTTTATATAAAACGCAGTTTGTTAAATTATATATGTGAAGTTTACAACTCCTTTAACAAGAAGCTATTTTGTTGGGTGCAAGATACAATGGGAAATAAGGTAAAAAGACCCCCCCCCACTACTGGACAGTTACCCTGAGGTAGAATGGTCTCACTGGACAGGGAGCACCAGGTTCACTGGAGAGCTGCTGACCTGGAAAGTCTGTAGAGGCTTCTGAAGGAAAGTGGGATCCAGCCTAAGAAGCAGTTACATCAAGTAGGCCAACTTGGGGAAAGAGGTAGCCTCCTGGATGTAGAGCCTTGTCAGCGATGAGAACAGAAAATAAGGGTGTCAAGAGGGCCTTTTAGAATGATTCTGCTTTGATCATTCTTTGGTGATGTTTTACTATCTCTTCATTCCCTAAATCCTCTAACTGATTCCAACACTAAAAGAAGAGATAAAACTACAAACAAACAATAAATCCCCTGAATGTAAAACTACATAGATTTATGTCAGAACCCTGCATGGGTGACCTAGCCTCTGACTGAGCCCATCTCCTGTCCTACAATGGGGGTAATAATGCCTTACAGAGTATTAGAAAAAGAAAGTGATGCATGACCAGCTTCTCAGAGACAGATGGCAGCATCAAAAGGACCCAGGACTTAGGAATCAGGCAACCATGGGTTCAAATCCAGCTCCCTACTAATGAGCTGAGTTCTTCTAGAAAACACACCTAAATAAGAGGTTCCATTCCCTAGGATATAGGAAGTGAGAGGTAATTGACCTTGAACACTAACTCAAGTGTAGAATCTAGCATAAAGGAAGCACACAGTAATCAGAGCAATTAGAAATATGATAGTGGTATCAGTATCTGCTCCTATACCTTGCCCAGTGCCCAAAGAAATGTTTGTGTACATGACTCAAATATTCGAACAGAGTATCCCAAGACATGTTACAACATGTCCAGCTCCTTACACAAAGCATTGCACAAGAAGCTCAAGTTATAACAGGGTCACATTATCTCATCCGACCAAACATATTATCTGATAAACAGAGAAAGGGTTATGAATTAAATATGCCATGCCCAGAGCATAGACTCTCCAAATTCATTCAACTGTGGACTTCTATTCGATATGGCCCTGGATTGGCAGCACCCGTGCCATGCAAAGCTACTTTTGAATGAAATATGTTGCCTGCCATGGACGAGCTCACCAGCTGGGGAAGTGGACAAAGAATGAGAAGAAAATGGGGTCTAAATGATCACCCCCCAAGTATATTAAGTGTTCTGTGTAGACACTGAGGTAGAGACAGAACAGAAGCTTTGGGGAGGGTAAGAAGGAAGAGAGAAAGCAAGGAGCGAGGGATAGGAGGGAAGGGCGTTTCAGGAGAAGGAGCAGCAGGAATCACTGCAAGGAAATAGTAGGCGCATCTGGAGACTGCCTCCTTTATCTGAAGACTGAATTGAAAGCTTTGACCTGACCTATGAACAGTTCTGAGTTTTATCCAATTATGAAAGCATTAACCAAGGCAAGTAAGGGCAGGTGGTGTAACAGTATCAGAGGTGCTCTGTGGCATTTTACAAAAATCCCTGTGAAGACAGACCACATAGAGCTCACATCAAAGAATACTCTGGAGGAGAGGTAGATGGGAATAGAAAAGTCTGAAGGGAAGATCCAGCTGAGGGATATTGACAGGTGTGGTCATAAGAAGGGTTTCCTAACCCCTAATCAGACCTCCATCAACCCAGGTCCCACTGAAGCCAGCATTACCTATGGGTAATAACTTTTGGCTTGGGTAATTTAGGGGGCCTGCAGAACCCTCAGATGAAAATGGGAATGTCTAACAAGAATGTCTAACTGAGTCTCTCCTCCCTGCTAGCCAAGCAATGTGTTAAAAAACTTAACATATACTGCCTTCCCAGAGCCGCAAACAACCTGTACATTGGCCACCCTCAGTACCCAAAACTCACCAACACAAGAAAGCAAAGTTAAGTCATTTGAAGACAGGATGGGCTCTAAGGAGGAGGAAGAGTTACAGTGGGCAGGGAGTCTGTTTGAATACACCATAGCAACAACAACTTTTGGTACTAGGAATAATCATACTTTGATACAGATCTCTATTTCAATCTCAAATATCATTCTAAACAAACAAAAGACACACCTCAATAAGATCTTTGTTGTGTTGATATTTAACACATTGTTTTAAACTCTTAGTGCCGACATCTATAACACAAAAGCAAAGCAATATAGCAAGATGCCTTCTTGTATTACCAGCCCTTCCCACCAGTCTCACTCATATTAAATAAACAAAGCTTTCCCAGGGACATGGGTTCAGTTGGTAGTAGAGTTGCCTAGCATGCATGAATCCCTAGGTTCTATCCTCAGCACCTCATAAACTGGACATGATGGAGCCCATATGTAGTACCAGAACTTGGGAGATGAAGGCAAGAAAATTAGGAATTCAAGGTCGTCTGTGGCTGCACATCAAGTTCAAAGCCAGTCCGGACTACTTGAGACTATCTCAAAAGTAATACAGAAAGTCTTTCTAGATGATAACGTCCTCATATCCAATATTTTACTTTTTAAAATATCATCTATAGTCAGACATGGTGGTGCATGCCTGTAATCTCAGCATTCAAGAGGCTGAGGCTGAAAGATTGCAACCTAGACTACACAGTAAGACCTTATCAAAAAAGCAGTCACCTACCCTATCTTGAGAATAGATAAAGGGTAAAGTAAGTACTTACCATTTACTACTACAATTATACAGTACAAATCTTTTCAAACAAATTTCAGCACATCTAACCCAAGTTAATTTGCCAGGCCACACGGCTTTAGGGAAAACAAGCATCTCAGAGGAAAGATTCGGCCCAAGACTGACCTATCTCAGATACTGCTAACATAAGGTGAATTTGTATTCTCTTGATGACATTTCTACAAAGTAATCTCATCAGAATTCAGTTCTTCTTTTAAGATGAATTGTGCCTTTTGCAGAGTTAGCTAATACAACTATTAAAATGTTGCACAATAAACTTGGAATATTTGATACTATGCTCTTACATGAACCTTATGGAGCATTCTTGGTATCTTTCATCATCTGCTAAATATGCCAGACTTGTTCATTCATACGATTTCTTGCCTTAAGTATCACCCAGCCCCAGTACCTCTCAAGTTTCCAATTTACCAATCACCAGACAACTAAGCAACCCATCTAAACCTAGCCCCAACTGGTCCTCTTCCTGCCATGTGCTTTCATCTCCTCCATCCCCCCGACCCTCAAGTAAAGGTTGAACTCTAATACACACACCACCCAAGGCTCTTTACCATCTGGTCCCAACCGTCCGCCTACTCAGCCTCATCTCATGGTCATTCCCCGCCTTGAACTGGTCACGGCTCCGTCACCCAACAAGCCAATTCCATCAGGTTTCCCTGTTTCTAGAACATTCAATTTCCTCTATCCCACCTCCTTCTGCAGGTACAGTTTATCATTAAAACACAGCTCCCACAGAATCCCAGCACTTAGAGAAGTATACCAGGCAGATTGTTGAATGAATAAACTGAGGAATAAAGGTGCCCTGCAAAACCTAGTGTCCAACTCACTGATTGGTTAGTCAGCAACCATTTGTTGGGTAAGTTATTAAGCATTTGATAATTGCCTTGGTTCTTGGCTGAACAAGGAATCCTCCCTGGATTTCTCACCAATGGTCTTTGTAACTATAAAGAAGGTAAACGACTTCTGAATCATGAGTTCGGACCAAGCTGTCCCTGAACAGGGGAAACCAAGTTTTAAAGGCACAGTCCTCCCTCATTGACAGGTGAGAGGAGACGTACAGCACTAATTCAGTATCATCAGAGTTGCCAAAAGAGTCAGCAATGTTTAGTGCTGTTTTAGTATTTGTTTCTCAGGCAGTGGAAATGGGGATGGAAAAACATCCAGAAATTTCTTTATAATATTTTATTACATTTTTTATATATTGTTGGAGATAGGTACACACTTCTGTCAGAGGACAACTGCAGGAATTGATTCTCCACTTCCACCATGTGGGTCCCCAGGTACCAAACTCAAGTTGTCAGGCTTGGTGGCAAGCTCCTTTACCTATTAACCCATCTTGATGTCCCTGGATTCTTTTTAAATAAGCAAGAGTAGTTCTTATAAGACCAGAAGCCTGTTAGATGTTATAAGATTGAAAACAAGCCAGCAAGGTTTTTTAAGGCTTTAGGGTATAAACTAAAGAATTGACTGTGGTAATAACCTACATAGTAGTTCTCCCTTATCCATGGAGGAGGGTGGGACCTGCAGTGGCTACCTGAAACTTCAGAGAGTACTAAACTCCACATCTTCTGCTGGGTTACCATGTTTTTAAGTCCTCTCTGCCTTGCAGCATTGAGACAGATGGCATGAGTTACTCTTCCCTTTGGTGTTTATGTCCTATGCCTCTGTAGCTTTACTATTCTTACTCTCTGGGGCCATTATTTATCAAAATAATATTCTTTGAACATAAGAACTGCCATACAATGTCAGGCCATTCGAAAACTGTGGCAGTTAGTGACTATCAGATGGGTAGTATGCACCATGTGCATACTTTGGGCAACTTTAAGCAAGAAATGACATGAATCAGCCTCTAGCAGAGATTTCATCATGCTGCTCAGAAGAGCACACAATTTTAGATTTAAGAATTGAGTTTTTTAACAAAACCTGCATTACGTTAAAGGTATTTAAGAACCATTTTTAGTTCAATAATGGGTATAAGGTTGTACAAGAAAACTAGGTTGCAACAAAGAGAAAGAAATGGGTTGTCTGGTGTTTACTGAGTCATTATTTGTTGAACAACTACAAGGTGTGCCAAGCATTATTCTAAATGGTAGGAGTACAACAGTTTGCAGAACAACATGGAAGTTCTGCCCTCTAGAGTCTACGTTCTAGACATCATAAGGAACAGTACAAATATAGAATCTGTCCATCACCATACCCATCCATGTCCATTCTGTTGGACGATGCTGCAAGAGAGCCAGCTGTTGGAGTGGACTGAGCAAGAGGGAGACATAGATACACAGGTTAAGTCATGATGTTAACTGCATGAGACATTGAAGGTCATTATAGGAACTTGTTTTGCTCTGCATGACATAGGAAGTGTGAGGGTCTTACCACAGGAGTTAAGTTGATCTATCTTGATATTTAAAAGAATCGTTGTGGGTCATATCTGCAGGTATACAGAAGTAAGATGGTCAACAGTGGACAAGAGTGGTAGTAACTGATATGGACGACAGCACATAGATTCTATATGATTTTTTATGTGTATGAGTGTTTTGCTTGCATGTAAGTGCACCATGTGCAGTACAATGCCCATGGAGGCCAGAAGAGAGTATCAGAATGTGGAATACTCATGATGGGAAGAAGGTATGAAAGAGGTCTAGGGACGGAGAATGAGAGAGGTTAAATTCAGTTGTACACTGATTTTAACTTGCAATTGATAACAACTGTTAAAAAGTGTTCATTGGGGATTGGAGAGATGGCTCAGCAGTTAAGAGCATTTATTGCACAATCATGAGGACCAGAGTTGAGGTCCCAGTACTCACATAACAAGCTGGACATCCCATACACACCTGTAACCCCACCTCCAGCACCTAGGGGGTTGGAGGTAAGAGGATTGCTGGGGCTTGCTAGCTTCCAGCCCAGACAAGAAAACATGAGCTTCAGGTTCAGAGAAAGACCCCATCCCAAAGAAATAGATGGAGGGTGATAGAGGAGGACACCTGATGACCTCTTCCTCCACATGCACACACAGGCAAGTGCGCACACACACACATACACACACGCATATACTCACACATAAATATTTTGGAAAAGTATTCAACAGGTGCTCTGTAAAGTAAAATCTCAAATGAGAACAGGCCTGAATACATATATGAGACCTGTCATCATATGTATAATAGAGGAAGCAGGTGAGTGAAGAACAGGGGTGTCACCACTCAAATCTGAGGGTTGCAGGAGAGGTCGGGAGAAATTATGGAACCTGAGAAATGTCCATACAGTTTTGAAAAGCCCTGGGGAATGTGAGTGAAATCTCTGGAGTACGTTGATAAAGGGTAACGCTAGATTGAAATTGTTTTAACAAGAATAGAAAAATAAGATGTTACTAAGACAGGAGAAATTGACTGTGGTGTGTCTCAGTTCCAACAGGGAGTAGGAAAGCTATTTCATTTATTCCAGCCAAATGCTAGAGTCAGTCATGCTAAATGTTATGACAATCAACCTGCCTTTTCCACTTCAGAGCTTAGTTAAGCCACACAGGGCAATTGAAAAGAGGTATAATATAACTCCATATGTAAGGACTTATTTCCAACCTTCCCAAGGTAGATGACAAGTAGATAATGTTGTCCTTTGATAAAGAGAAAATGCTTTTCTCTTTTCTTCCCTTTTTTTGTGTATAAGAGATACTTTTTTCCACTTTCTTTTTTGGGGTCCTGTGTGTGTGTGTGTGTGTGTGTGTGTGTGTGTGTTTGTGTGTGTGTATCTGGGGATCAAACTCTAGGCCTCACTCAAGTGAAACATGTCAGCATCCCCAGCCCGATTTTCCTTAATTCTTGATGGAAATGATGGAAATGGAAAACGTTCAATACTTGTTCTTTAAAAGGCGGTACAGGGAGAAAGCACTAGAACAGAAGGGAAGCTGGGAAAGAGAGCTCTAGCTGTTCTTTCAGCCTTTCTCCACATCAGAAGCCCTGGTTGAAGGGTGAATGCCGAAGCTGAAGGAGACAGGAAGGTGAGAGGGGGCACTCAAACAAGCTGGTATAAACAAAGGAACTGAGTGAGATCTGGAAAGTAACTTTACATATTACCTAGTCCAGTCCTCTCACAGAACCAATGAGGTACCAAGACCCAGTACTAAAATCCAGAGAGACTAGGAAAATGTTATTTAGCTGGTCTAAGCAGATATAGACCTAGAACCCAAGTCTGAGCATGTATTCCTAGCTCATATCTCATTTTGATGATTGCTCTACTTACTGGTTGACAATGTGAGAGATAAACAAGGCCTAGCTAGTTTTGAAAACCAGAGAGAACCTTAATAATTAGTAGTTGTGAAAAACATTACTGACAAATTATACATAGCAGATCAAGAAATATATGTCTAGGTAAGGTTTATCTGAGAACAACTGGTCTTTGCCCAAGATTTATCTACATGACACACAGCAATTAAAAATGCCATACTGGTGGAACTAACCTTCTTGGGTGTTTAACAAACATACTTTGAGGTCTATAATAATTTGGTCAGAGGGACATAAAGGACACTTTTTGCTCCTTGCCCTCCTAGGTCGACTAGGTCCAGGGGACTATGAGCATCTCTTAAAATGTCCTATAATGGTGGTGTGTTACCTGTCCTCTTGATCAAGGAGGCCGAGGAGACCCCACCAGATGGACTTGAACCAGTGTCCAGTCTACAAAGAGGAGGGTCAACACAGAGGAATCACTTCTTCCATGCTTCCAAGCGATGCCAACCATGGTCGAGCAGGACCTTTGACTTATCTTCACATAGGCAGAACTGGTAAAAGAAAGGAGCCAGGGGCTCCTCCCAAGCCCATGTGACCCCTGAGGAACAGATCCTCAAATGACCTTAAGAGTAAAAATAAATCAGTTTATCTGGACCAATTGTGTGGCCTTAAACACCCAAAAGGAAAGTATAACCAAAGATTAAAGGGGCCAATATAATTTCATAAGAGTCCATATGTATAGCTAAGGACTACATAACAAGCAACAATGCCAGGCAGGCGATACGTTCTTTTGAGTTGTTGGCCAGGGTGGCCAAAGGAATTCCCAGATAGTAACTCAGCATAGAACTGGGAAAATGAACAGCAGACCCCAATCTTATCCAAAGGAACAACTGATTAACACTATATGAGGAACAGCTGAACCTCCTAAAAAAAAGACCTCTAGATAGGCTGACTAGATTCACCAGAAGGGCAAGTAGTGGGGAATGGCTGGAGGTTCTGACAACACAGCAGACAGTAGCAGGGATATCAGAGTAAAAGGGCTCTAGTGGGGGGAGGGAGGCTATGGAATTGTGCCATCTGGGAAGTGGGTGTATAGTTAAATAAGATGGTTTGGGATGTTCTGTGTGATACACACACACACACACACACAATCAACAAATTAAAAAAATGTATTATATTTGAGGAGGAAGCATGGAAATTTATGTCATGTTAATTAGTAGAGGTGATAAACATTACTGTTGAAATCTACCCGATGACTTTATAGACATACACAGGCGCCAAGGATCCAAGTGCAACTGATTATGAC